AGTCCGTTCGGATTCTTCTAGCGATTGCTGCATATAACAATTATAAAATATGGCAGTTGGACGTCAAAACCGTCTTCCTCAATGGAATTTTGGAAGAAACTGTGTACATGACACAGCCTGAAGGTTTTGTCAACAAAAACAATGCTAGAAAGGTATGCAAGCTTAAGAAGTCCATTTATGGATTAAAGCAAGCAAGCAGAAGTTGGAATCTGCGATTCGATTAAGCCATTAGTAAATTTGATTTTATCAAAAATCCAGATGAGTCTTGTGTTTACAAGAAGGTCAGTGGGAGTGACATCGCCTTTATAGTTTTATATGTCGACGACATCTTGCTAATTGGAAACATCATTCCGTTATTAGAGTCTGTAAAGGCTTGGCTCGGAAAATGTTTTTCAATGAAAGACTTGGGAGAGGCTTAGTACATATTAGGCATCAAGATCTATAGGGATAGATCAAAGAGGATGATAAGATTAAGTCAAAGTACTTATATTAATAAGGTACTAGCTTGATTCCACATGGAAAGAGCCAAGAGAGGCCACCTACCCATGTCACATGGCATAACCTTAAGCAAGATTCAGTGTCCAAAGACACTTGATGAACGGGAAAGGATGAATGAAATTCCATATTCTTCGCCTATTGGATCAATCATGTATACCATGATATGTACTAGGCCAGATGTATCGTATGCCTTGAGCGCTACGAGCCGATACCAATCAGACCTAGGAGAGGCGCATTGGACTGCGGCCAAGAATATCCTAAAGTACCTGAAAAGGAACAAAGATAAATTCCTGGTCTATGGCGGTAGAGATGAATTGGTTGTTGAGGGATACACCGATGCAAGCTTCCAGACAGATAGAGACGACTTCAAGTCACAGTCTGGGTACATATTCTGTCTCAATGGAGGAGCGTTTAGTTGGAAGAGTGCTAAGCAAAGCACAACTGCTGATTCTACAACTGAAGCCGAATACTTGACAGCATATGAGGAAGCTAAGGAGGCAGTTTGGATTTGCAAGTTTATTGGGGAACTTGATGTTGTACCCTCCATCAAGGGTCCAATAGATCTCTATTGTGATAACAATGGGGCTATTGCGCAGGCCAGAGAGCCTCGAGAACATCAGAAGGTCAAACATGTCAAAAGGCGATTTCACATGATTAGAGAATGGAAATCAGAAGGTGAAATCAAAATTTGCAAAGTTGGAACGGATGATAATGTAGCCGATCCACTTACTAAACCTCTGTCTCAAGTAAAGCACAACAAACACATTGAGGCAATGGGAATCAAGCATATTGGAAACTAGCTTTGATTTCCTTATTTTAATGTTTTAATTAAATTTTGGACAATGTTGATGTAAAACACTATGATGAACCATTCAGTTTTGGAGTAAATAAATGCGATTTAAATCACTCCGTTTCTATTTAATTGTGGTTTAGAATTAAATAATGAGTCCATTTGATTTAATGAATATTCAAAATAGGGTATCAAGACAATGTCTTGGATAAAGAAACACCTATTAAGTGAACATTGAATATTTTAATCGAAAATTATCCCTAATCAAGGTCATTTATATGGTGGACGATTAATGACCAATAGAGATTAGTGTGTAGTATGATTTACAACACCGTTTCTTGTGCTATAAGGACGTAAATCATTTGCACAGGTATTGGTTTAGAACCATACTGGATCGACCTATGAGAATACTTTAAGAGATTCAAAATTGTCATAAGTATATTTCTCATTATTGCTATCGGAACTCGATCTTTTCCTTGACCATGAGTATTGTAAGGTCTCTTGTTTGAGTACTATTCCGTTTTTTGATGTCGGTCAAACGTCTACCGTAATTGGGGATTATAACGACGGCTATCAGGCAGCTAAGTCCTCTTAGTAAGAGAAGCTACATTACAAGACTAGGAATGTTCCCCTACTAACAATAGGGAACATGTCTTGTTGTTTACAAGGCCTCTCAAAGAGCGAGACTTTGAAAATGCATGGCCGTGCTCAGATGGATTTTAGAAATCATCTGCTTATTGATAATCAAACTCGAATTTCAAGAAACACTTCTGGACGTAATAGGGATGACGAATAATCTTACCCTATAGTTCATGAAGAGACATAGGAAAGGGGCTATACACTGAAAGCTCACTTGTCCGGAAGGACAAAAGGGAGATTGAAAGGAATGGTGTCCTTAGAACAAGTGTATCATTCTGATAGTGGGTTCAGAATTATTAGAAAGCTAATATATTCAGTAAGGTCAAGTGATCGGAATGCCTAGGTGGAGGCTGCTTCCGATCAGTAATATTATTGCATAATTAATATTACAACTTAATCTTGACTGAACCCTTCGGGTCACACCCTTAGCAGTAAACGAACCGACTCGACGAATTAATTCGGAAGAAATTAATTCGTCGCCCGAGTATTAAATATTTAGACGTCAGTAATTTGAGCTTAGAGCGTCAAAACCGAGCGTTGGAAGTTAAGTAAAAAATAGTAAATGACGAGATGCGCAAAATAATAATAAATCGACAATATTCCCAAAATACCCTAGCATCGGAGTGCCCCGAGCATCTGAATGCTAGGGGCAAAATATGCTAGCATAGGTGGCTAGCATGCGCACCAAGCCGAGCCTAGCATGGCTGGCTGGTGCGCGCTAGCGCACCATAGCTAGCAGCAGCTAGCAGCCGCAAGCATCTTGGGTTTTTTGGAAGAGTGCTTGAGTAGGAGTTCAATAGAGCATTGCATTAGCAAAAACTCTTAAACTCATATAATACTCGGGTTTTAGTCGGACATCGCTAACCTCGAGGTAACAGACCTAAAAGTCGCTAGTAGTTTTGCGGGTGGATTTCCGTAGGAGGCTCGCGTATTTTCGGAGCTCAAGCTTTCAAGTAAGAGCCCGACTTTGAGGGCGAAGCACGCTTCAAAGGTAAATTCCGATTTTTCCCTTTTGTGATTAATTGTTATGCTTTATGGTTTTATTAATTGCGAGTGGTTCCTTGGGTCAGGGTTTTTTTCGCGGTGAGTCGGAGTCACCAAACCCCAACAAAAGGAAGGATGAAGGAGGAAGGAGGAAGAAAAAAAGGGAAAAAAAATTAACTTGTTTAACAAGTTCAAGGTCAGATGGATCTGTTGGAGAAGGTGGGGTATAAAGGTTGGATTTTTATGAGATTAATTAAAGATTGGATTTTTATTGTCAGATCGAGCAAAGGTTGGATTTTTAGTTTCCATTTTTCCAATTCTTAATCATTATCTTTCAAAATAGGATAAATTAGAACCTTATAGAAGATAATAATCAATCCTAATGCCTTTAGAACTTAAAATAACCTTCTAGATAATTCTACAAAATTAAGATAAATCCTAATGGTTTTAGAAACATAATTAATATTAATGGACCCTCAACATGATCATTGGGTTCGCATATAAAGCTTGATTTGAACCCAGTTTAGTATTTTGGCCATAACTTCCTTTTATAACTCAAAATTGAGCTTATAATATATCGTTGGAAAGCTCTTTTCAAGCCCTATCCAACTACACAATTATTGGACCTAGATTATGGACGACGTTTTTCATATATAGGACACGAAATGAATGATTTTAAAAATATGAAATGAATTATTTTGAATTATAACATTTTAGAAAAGGGGAAATTCATGAGACTCTTCAACATTTCACCTTGCTCGATATTCAATGACGTGAAAAGTAATCATCACTTGGTTTAGTTTTTGGGGAGACACAATCAGGTGTTTACACCCACCCAAATAAAAAAAAATAGATGAAATGGATTCTAATTTCATTCCAACCCATTCCAAATGATTCAACCAAACGGCTCCTTAATTAATTTCATGCTAGTAAATATTATAAAAACTTGATGTTAAGACCATCTCCACCGATGAGACTCAACTTTGAGTATTGAAATACAAAATGAGTTGTTTTTTACCTCCAATGGTGAGACCATACCCACTTCTCAATTTAGCACCTATGTGAAATGTAATTTCCCAATAGTGAGACTCTCTATACTATACTAATGTCACTTTCAATTTATGGCCCACCAAATCCATTTCTTTTTTCTTTTGTAGGAGTTGTTTTAATTAGAAATCAATCCTAAACAAAATTAGCATCATCATGGCTTGAAAATTATATATCATTAAAAAAACATAAAAAAAAATGGTCATTTTACAAGGCATTGCATTTAAGATTAGAAATTGAAACACACATGTACAATACTATAATAAAATAACAAATCATTAATCGTCATAAAAGAAAACATTAATCCTCATATAATAAAACATTAAGTACTTCATAAATATATTTAAACATCAAATATCTAAGTCAATAGTTCCGCCTCGGATTTATTCCAAATATGCTCAACTAAGTCGGCTTGTAATGCTCGATGTGTGGCTTTATCCCGAACCCTGTCATTTCTTTCATAGTAGCTTTCATAATAAAGAGCAAGAGGTTCGGACATAGAGTATGTTACCGGAGGTGCTTCATCATTTAGTTCTTCATGGAAGCTATTGTAATTAATCGGATAAGTATCCCTCTCATCCTCAACTATCATGTTATGTAGTATGACACATGCTCTCATTATTTCCCAAATCTTGTTCCTATCTCAAATACACGCAGGATTACGCACAATTGCAAATCGAGCTTGAAGTACACCAAACCCCCGTTCTACATCTTTTCTAGCTCCTTCTTGTGCTTTTGCAAACAATTTTCTCTTTGGCCCTTGAGGACAAGGAATGGTTTTCACGAACACTTACCACTCGGGAAAAATACCATCAGCAAGGTAGTAACCCATATTGTATTCGGTACCATTGACACTATATTAAACCTTAGGATCTCTACCTGATAATAATTCATTTAGTACCAGTGATCGTTGAAGTACATTTACATCATTGCAAGACCCCGGTGTACCAAAGAAAGCATGCTAAAACCATAAATCTCGTGATACCACAGCCTCAAGCATAATAGTTGGCTTGCGATGATCACCTCTTTTAAATTAACCCTGTCATTCAGTGGGACTATTCGTCCACTCCCAATGCATACAATCTATGCTCCCTAGCATTCCCGAGAAACCTCTTGTTTCACCGATTTGTCGAAGGTAGCGAATATCATTGGAGTTGGGTTTCCTCAAGTATTCTTCCTCAAATAACTCATTCACTCCAGTGACGAACCTCATTAAGCACTCCATGGTTGTTGACTCTGCAATTTTGAAGTACTCATCTAACTCATCAGCAGCAACTCCATAAGCCAACATACGAATGGCTGATGTACATTTTTGAAGTGGTGATAACCCGACTCGACCAGTTGCATCACGTTTCAGCTGGAAGAAAGGATCATGATTTTCAAGAGAGATAACAATGCGTAAAAATACATGTTTTGTCATGCGAAATCTCCTACAAAAATGTTGTTCATTATACACCGGAGTCTCAGTAAAGTAGTCTTGGACAAGTAGCTTATATGCTTCTTCACGTTTTCTGAAAATGTAATCCCTTTTCTTTCTATGGCGTCACCTACTTGATGAGCTTGCATTTTGTTGTTCTGCAATATCCAACTCAACAATTTCTTGAAGCCTTTGAGTTGAATTATCATTAGCCATCAAGTCAATGATCATGTCATCGAGACTCTAGGCTAAATATGGATTTTAATTATCTTCTAAGTTTGGCTTTGTGTTAGGAATATCAGTTTCACTAGAATATGAGTGTGTATTGTTGTTCATTTTGAGAAGTTATGGGTTAATGAAGATGGAATGCAGCAAAGTATTGATTTTAAACGTGTGAATCTGAATACAAATATAAAGGTAGAGTGAGAGTAGGTGGAGAATTTAACGCATCACCATTACTATGCTTGAATTTACTACATTGCTCTGCTAATTTTATTACAATGAGGAATGAGGTCCAACCACTCACAATTACTACTTGATGTCAACTACTACCAATTACTATTTTATGTCAACTACTCACAAATTAATATAAAGCCAAAAGGCAATACAAATACTACATTAATTTAGTTCGAAAATAAGTCTTACAAATCCCAAAAGGCAATACAATAACTAAGCTACTAGGTACACTATTTTAATCCTAACAATATCTAGACATATACTACTTATTTGAGCAAACCTCTATATAAAAATTGGAAGCTCAGTGGAAATAAAAATAAAAATAAAGATCAAATATCTCATAGTTTAATTGATCATCATTTTGCATACAAGATCATAACTAGTTAAATTTGCTAAATCCCATATTTTCTCTTAATCATGTCACATAAATACCCATGGTGGAGCTTTTTCTCACTAGAAAACCCACTTGTATCCTTCAACAATACTTCATAATCAAGCTTCCTTTGCTCATTTTCAGCCTCCATCTTCTTTAAGTTTGCAATGGTCTCTAAAAGATCCAATTTTTTCATCTTCATTTGCTTCAAGTCATTAGCTAATTCTTTAACTATAGGGCTAGGTTGAAACACTTGTAACTTACCTTTCCCTTTTGTAGCCCTTCTTCCCGATGGACGAACTTCAGTTGGTACAACTTCATTTGGTGTACTTGGTGAGACTTCAACATTAGACGAGGATATCAACACCAGAATTGGACACCTTTAACCTTTTGTTTGAACCACCTTGTCTAGTTGGGCGAGCTTTATTTGCCATATCTTCACTATATTGAATCCACTTTTCTTGATTCTTCAATGCATTCCACCAATGTAAATATTGGAACTTCTTTTTTCCATTTTCGTTCTCATAAAGCTTAAGTGCCTCAGTGGTGAGATCGGCCTCGGTCATACCACTTAGGTTGAGTTGATTAGTGCGAGCATAGCAACCTACAAACTTGTTTACAAATGGCATAATCCTAAACCATCGTTGCTTCAACTGGGTCATATCTCTACGACATCTTCCTTTCATGCTTTCTTTATATTCAGCTGCTATTTGTGTCCAAAAACCATCCGACTTCTTATTTGCACCTTTCTCCTTGTCTTTTGATGAGAATAACCAAGCACTAATAAGCTTTTCATCTTCCTCAATTAGCCAACGACGATATCGTCCCCATCATCATTTTCCTATGTAAATTCTTCATCATCATTATCATATGATTGAGTAAATTGGGGGTTTTGATCCTCGAATGGAGTTTCAGGGTGTTCATTTGAGAATTGGGGGTTTTGATGCTCAATTGGAGTTTCAGGGTGTTGATTTTGTGAATCTACCATTTGAGGGCTTTGAGATTCAATTTGTGAATTAATTATTTCTGGGTTGTTAAACAAAATAATTATTTCTGGGTTGTTGGTACGTAACAGCTGTAAAAAAGATTGAACCAAATATTCATTATTAGACATTGGAACACATAAATGCTTGAGAGTTCATTGTTTGGAAGAAATTGGTTCACTCAATAGATTTAAAATGAAAAAAATAAAAAAAAAGTAGTCATTTGGTTGTATGTAGTAGACGTTGGAGATATCAAAAATTGTAATCAAACAAAAAAAAAACTAAAAAATAAATAAATTGCAAAATATATTAGAATATTAACATGGGGCCCACACTTTTTGTCAATCGAGACTCAAAGTTGAGTATCTAAACTTAGCAACTTTCTTTTTGAATTGCTAAGTTTAGATACCAACTTATTGGTATACATTGAAATATCTTTCTCCTAACAATATTCACTTGAGTCTCACCATTGGAGATGGTCTAACAATATATACAATGAAACGAATCCAACAAAATCCCACATGACCGCATTATCTCTTTTAGATCAATGATAATTAATGGTCAAATTTTTTGACTCAATGAGACAAAGTTTAGGAGTGCATGGAGTAATAGCTAAATGCCTAATCTTTTGAAATTACCTAACTGCCCCTAAGTTTAATACTGTAAGAAGAATTTGTTGATGTTGTTGCTGCTTCAAACCTATAAACAACTGAACACTCTCACACGGCCACACCCACACTACCTTCGACTTCTTCCCTCAATTTCTCCGCCCATTTTTTCTCTTCCTATAATAATTCATCTACAAATTCACTAATTACCCGATTTTTCTTTCTTGTTCCTATAAAAATTCGTCATTCAATCACCTAATTTTTCTTTCTATTCCATCTTTTCTACCATGATCAATTTCCAATGGCTCCTACCATTCAGTCTATAACGACTCCATCATCTTTCTCAACTCCCAATTCAATTCATTCCAACAAATTTAATGGTAAATTTCTGATTTCTTGTTGTTAGTAATTTAGATTTGAATTGGGTTTTCCGCGATCCATTCAATTTTGTTTGTTTTTGGATTTTTTTTTGTCAAGTTGTTTTTGGATTTACATTGCTTTGATTTATCTAATTCTAATACATTTTAGGATTGCAATAATTTCACAAGAAGAGATCTTGAGTATTATAACTATTATTATAAAATTTATCATCTTGTAATATCTTATGAGGTTTTTTTCCCCTTGAAGATTAATGGGGTTTTGATTAATTTGGTAATCAGTTTTAAAAACTGTGTTATTGATTTATGTTGTTTGTCTATTTTAAGAAGGAAAGTTGGGTTTGTGGTGGTAAGATCTGAGCTCAATGCAAAACGTGGTTCGATGCTAGGCCGTTGTCGGACTGGAAATTTGGTTCCTCAAGCTGTTGCTGTGAGTACTATTTATACAACCGTCTCATCATGTGTTGTATATCATAAAGAATTTTGATTATTATGCATTGTGCAAATCTGAAATTAGGGACTTAAATTTGATTGTAATGTTGTTTTATATTTGCAGACTCCACCAACTCCTACTGCACCTTCAAAAGCCGGGTATGCTTAATGAACGCCTTTTATGCCATTTTCCTGTATGATTAAGTTAAAACTTGGAGATTTTGGCAGTTCTTTATACATCCAAACATATTATATAGGTTTCTCTAATACATATGATTATTGGTTCCTTGAGATTTTGCTTACTAGCTCCTTATACATCCAAACACAGTACATAGAATTTTCTGATATGTTGGTATTATTGATTGTTGGATTTTTAGCTTACTTTACAGGTGATTTGTTCATTTCGTATTCTCTTTAACTTCAACTTGCCTATGATTAGCGACTGTAAAACATGAACATATCACCTAAATAAAATGTTGTATTTTCGTAATGATACATACATTGGAGATAATCGGGTTTGTTGTCCGCTATAAGCCGAAGGTGGTAATGTTTATATTTGAATGCTGAAATGGGTTTTAGAATGCTAAACATATCAAGGCTATGTAAACATATTTAGCTACCAAACTTCCTAGTATGTAAATAAACATCCTAGTAAGCACTCTTTGAAATAAGCTTAATAGTTGTAAAATTCTATGTTATTCGGACTCTTCATCCCACCTCAAGTACCTGTGTTAAACCCTCAACATTCGGACATGGGTAGAACACTTACACACTTCATTTTAGTTCAAAATCATAGTTAATTATCATTAAATAACCAAGTAGGGCACTTGGACACGCAATTGTGTGAGGTACCATAGTCCGAGTAAGATTCTAAAATTTACTGTAAGTAAATAATCTCTTTCAATGTTACATTTTTTTTAAGGATAATTAGAAGGCAAAGGATTTCTATGGTGTAACTCATTCTTACTTAGCATTTTTTCTTGTTCCACTTCTAGTTCTTTTTATATTGACTCTTTTTAAGCTCAAAAATTTCAAACTTCTAAAGAGTTAATGACAATGGTTGTGGCTCTGTTTTAAATAGATGAAGGGAGGTGCATGAAATCTGGAGATTGAAGGAAGAAATTTATTACCAGCTCTTCCATAAAGAAGCTTTGTAGTTGTATTAATATGGGCATGAAGGTTATCCACCTTCTATTCAAGTACTAGAAGTATGAATTGAGAAGTGATTATCAGTTACTCACTGGCCCAGAGCTCAGATATTTAGGTGGGGGGAACAATTTGTTAACATGTTATATATAATTAGGAATGAAAGATAAACTCATATTATGTTGTTTGTTGTTGTTTATGTACTTAGCTTCTGTGAGTAGAAACTTTTGCATTGGGCTTTCATTTTAATTGTTTGCATGTATGTATCGATCATTTTGGGGTTTGACTTGTTTCGTAATTCTCTTTGCTAAATTGGATGCAAACCATAGTGCAGCATGCACCTTGAAATCATTACCATATGTTTTCTAGTTCTTGTATATGTTATGCCGCTATGGTTCAGCTAATTTCACATGCCAAAAATATGTTACAACTGTCTTAGCAATTTAAAATGTCTGATTTTTCTTGGATTGTCCGGCATGAGGTCTTGCTCTTTGAAGCACTCCGTGAAGGTCTTGATGAGGAAATGGAAAGGGATGCTCGTGTATGTGTCATGGGTGAAGATGTAGGTCACTATGGTGGATCTTATAAGGTCACTAAAGGACTGGCCCCAAAATATGGCGATCTTAGAGTTCTTGACACCCCAATTGCTGAAAATTCCTTCACAGGGATGGGCATTGGAGCTGCTATGACTGGCCTAAGGCCTGTTATCGAGGGAATGAATATGGGATTTCTTTTATTGTCATTTAACCAAATCTGGAACAATTGTGGCATGCTGCATTACACTTCTGGTGGCCAATTCAAAATTCCTATGGTCATTCGTGGCCCTGGTGGTGTTGGACGACAGCTTGGGGCTGAGCATTCACAACGTCTTGAGTCTTACTTCCAATCAATTCTTTATATACAAATGGTTGCATGCTCCAACCCTTACAATGCTAAAGGACTGATGAAAGCCGCAATCAGGAGTGAGAATCCTGTTATTCTTTTTGAGCATGTTCTGCTTTATAACCTCAAAGAGAAGATTCCGGATGAAGAATATGTTCTTTCATTGGAAGAAGCGGAGATGGTAAGACCTGGAGAGCATATTACAATCTTGACCTATTCCCGTATGAGATATCATGTGATACAGGCAGCCAAGACACTGGTCAACAAAGGCTATGACTCTGAGCTGATCGATATCCACTCGTTAAAACCCTTTGATATGCACATAATCGGAAACTCCATCAAGAAGACACACACAGTGCTGATCGTCAAAAAGTGCATGAGAACAGGTGGTATTGGTGCCAATCTGACAGCTGCTATTAACGAAAACTTCAATGATTATTTGGATGCCCCAGTCGTATGTTTTTCATCTCAAGATGTACCTACCCCCTATGCCGGGACTTTGGAAGAATGGATTGTGGTTCAACCTGCTCAAATTGTTACTGCAGTTGAGCAGCTGTGCAGGTAGGGAACCATTTAGTGGAGCTTTCTATTCTTTTCTTCCCATCTCCTCGTCTCTATTTTTAATTTAAGCAATTGGAATTGGTATGTATTTTAGTAGTTAGCAAATTCATGTCTGAATATTGCTGATATAAGTTAGTTGAGCCGTGTTGCTCACGAAATCTGCTCACTCCCTGATTTTGTGAGCAACTTTGTTACTTGCCAATGAAGAACTTATTTTTACAGCGTTTGCTGTTAGAATTCTTGGAGATTTTGTTATACACTTATACTTGAAATTCTTCTTGAAGATTAAATTTTTAGGAATTACCGCAAGGGGACAAAATTGGCTTGGTATATAATGTTTCAGTTAATTCAAAGCTACTCCTTTCCAAAGTATATTTCGAAATTTGCTTAAAAATTCTTAAGTGTTGACATCATCCATACTCATTGACGGATACAATGATAGTTCAGACATCATTTTATTTCTCCTTTTGCTCTTTTGATAGCCTATGATCAATGAAGAAAGATCTTAAATGTGCAAAATTGAGTTGATGCAGATGCTTTGTTTCTTTTGTTCATTAGGGAGCCATGTATAATTGAACTATAACTCAAATTGTCACCAAATTTCACTACAAAGAAGTTAAATTTATTGCCAAAATTCTAAAAACCCAGAGTTTAAGAAAAAGCGATAATGGGTGTAAGACTGTATCGTACTACTTGA